ACTTTGTAGCAGATTATTTGAGTATACTGTAACTATATTTTTCACTTTGTAGCAGATTAGATGAGTATACTGTAACTATATTTTTCACTTTGTAGCAGATTATTTGAGTATACTGTAACTATATTTTTCACTTCGTAGCAGATTAGCTGAGTATACTGTAACTATATTTTTCACTTTGGAGCAGATTAGCTGAGTATACTGTAAATATTGTTTTTCAATTTGTAGCAGATTAGCTGAGTATACTGTAACTATATTTTTAACTTTGTAGCAGATTAACTGAGTATACTGTAGCTATATTTTTCACTTTGTTGCACATTAATTGAGTATACTGTAACTATATTTTTCACTTTGTTGCACATTAATTGAGTATACTGTAACTATATTTTTCACTTCGTAGCAGATTAGATGAGTATACTGTAACTATATTTTTCACTTCGTAGCAGATTAGATGATTATACTGTAACTATATTTTTCACTTTGTTGCACATTAATTGAGTATACTGTAACTATATTTTTCACTTTGTTGCACATTTATCACCAGGTGACTTACCTGTATACGTTCTGTTGAAAGTTGTCACTTGAGTGTAACATCTGTAGGTAACTTACCTGTATACGTTCTGTTAAAAGTTGTTACTTGAGTGTAACATCTGTCACCATGTGACTTACCTGTGTACATTATGTCGAAAATTGTTGTAACTGGCGTACATGATCAGGTGTCCAAATCCAGTGTTAAGTGAAAAGAAACTCTGTTCGCAGGCCTTGTACCAAACCTAATTCCAAAATAAATCCAATTCTATAGTGTTGGTTGTATGTATAGTTTGCCGGATTATATGATATACTTAAAGTGATCTGTTTCTTTAAAATAAATAAATAAATGAATATCGAAATTCTGGTTTAAGGAAAATAACCTGTAAAACGTCATCACTTATAATAACAAATTTATTTCACAACATCTGCACGAGGGGCGTAACGATTGTTTGTTTGTTTGTAATTAAGCACAAAGCTACACAATGGGCTATCTGTGCTCTGCCCACCACGGGTATCGAAACCCGGATTCTAGCGTTGTAAGTCCGCAGACATACCGCTGTGCCACTCGGGGGCGGGCGTAACGAGCGATCAGAAACACAAAAGTAAAAACATGCAAATAACTATGAATAACAAATTGATCTGGAACTTATTTTATTATCATCGTAACTTATCATACTAAATCTTTATGTTAAAAAGTGTATTGCAAAACTTATTTGAACATGAGCTTAATAAACAAGATAAAAAAATACAAGAAACTCTATTGTAAACCTCAATATCGAATAATTTGTTCCACTTTGGCTTGAAAAAAAACACAAGTCCTTCTATGGATCCTTGTTTCTGCAAGGCGACTACAAGTAGAGAAATAAGCACGATGTATGGATAAGTCGCAGTCACATAAACCACCTGTTAATAAAACAGAGATTAAATTCGTAAAACCGTTCCTGATTTGGAAAAGTAACACGATACGTAATAAAATATGCATGTCTTTTTAAAATATAAAATAGTAAATGCACAACGAAGCTACACTCTTATGGTGTTTATTTTAAAATGATGAAACACGTTCCTTTGTTTTTAAATGTTACAAGTTGACAAGAATGAGGTTTTTGTGTAATTTAGCAATGTAAGTCGCAAGTACGTTATGTGGGAATATAAGCATTATATGTCCTTCATTAACACCATTGTTTTTTTAAAAGTTGATTGTACAGTTGTAGATTTAAAAACAACAGATTATATACATATGGTCCACTCTAAAATCTCCTGCAAGTTTTCTATAGTTTCCAAAAGCTTCTGATACAAATTGTTATTGTCATTTTAAACAGGGGCTAGGTGTGCCTTAGAGGTTAGTGTGCTCGTACTGTGAATTCAGAAGTTCGTGCTTTGTTTCCTGTTACAGGAAAGACGCGCTCCGCACTTTTGAATTGTGTGTGGGTTATAAGAATGGCAATCATATCCCACTATTCAGTTAGACTAGAGCACCGCCAGTGTAGGTGGCAAGTGCTATTGACTAGCTACCTTCCCTCTAGTCTATCAGTTAAGAATTAGGGATGATTATCTTTTGTGTAGTTCTGCACGAAAATTCTGAAACAATCATAAAATATGCACTCACGACCACTAATAATACTTTTTAACTGGCGTGGGTAGCAGCTGAAAATTAAATTTCATAAATTGCAATTTTTTTTCATGTTAAGCCTAATTTTATTTAAATAACAAAAAGTTCGTATCTTTTGTTACACACAGAAATATTAATTTTTATCTGTTTATCATTCAATAATGTTGAAAGTTTTTGTTTGCTTTGCTTTCCACGTTGAATCCAAAAATCGATATATATATATATGTGCTCTTTCAATTGCCATATTTTTATTTTGTGCTTATGACAAAACTACTAAAGTTATCTGTTGCTGTTCCTAATTTCGGATTACTCACCAGAAGGATGGCACCCTGGCAGCAGCAACTTACCAGCCACACTAAATGATTGACTATCACCTTATTATGCACCCACAGCTTAAATTGAGAAGATATTTCGTGGTATTGCCCTAAATCGAATCCTTCTCTCCAGCTCTGGAATCCGAAGTTCTACAACAGGGCCAACTCACGCCGTTTTTGTTTTTGTTGTTTGTTCGATAACCTATCTAGAGCAGGTTAAACCATGATAACGTGCGTAACTCGTAACAAATGTGATAAAAGTCTCATTCGACTGCAGGTGTGTTTTGTCACGTTTTTCTTATTTAGTTCGTTACATATATCACATCAAAGACTTGTAACAAGAATAGTTCTAATCTGTCGTTTGTCTGCAACAAGCGACTTCACAGATATTCCTTGCAGTGTCAGAATGTGATAAAAATATTGTTTTCTGTAAATACTCACAATACATAACATAGTATACTCATCTAATCTGCTACGAAGTGAAAAATATCGTTACAGTATACTCAATTAATCTGCTACGAAGTGAAAAATATAGTTACAGTATACTCAGTTAATGTGCTACAAAGTGAAAAATATAGTTACAGTATACTCAATAGATGTTACACTCAAGTAACAACTTTTAACAGAACGTACACAGGTAAGTTACCTAGCGACAGATGTTACACTAAAGTGACAACTTTCAACAGAACGTACACAGGTAAGGCACCTGGTGACAGATGTTACACTCAAGTAACAACTTTTAACAGAACGTACACAAGTAAGTTACCTAGCGACAGATGTTACACTAAAGTGACATCATTTAACAGAACGTACACAAGTAAGTTACCTAGC